CACGTTTTTAACTGCTCGACTCTTTGTTACATTCCATTCATGAAGTATTTTCCTACGTGGTTAGTGCTGTAATTTTAAACAGAACGGTTTTAAGATGGCTGGAAACAGTTTCCAGCACTTTCCAAGACGTATTTTTTGATGGGTTACTAGAACCACTCTTTATCAGTTGATGCTACAATCATGGCATCAAAAAACTGCCCAATCATTAGGGAACACGTTGGTATCGTTTTCGGGACACTCTTTGTTACCATAGCAACAGTTTGATCTGCTAAAAACACCCTTACGTTAGCTTTAAATGCGTATATTTCAAATACTGCACGCTGAACCCTCTTTTTATCATCTGGTACTGCATGATCCTTTTTCCCTTCGTGCAATTAGCCTCTTGAGTCGTTCCACTGTCTCTGATACCTTTCTACCTTTGTCTGGGAGGCTTTGCGAGAACTTGGTTCCACAGCCACTTTGACAATGTTATGACGCAATTTATCATCAATACGAGAACAGACGCATAACAAACTGACGTCAATTTGTTAATTTTTACGACAACTGCAGAAATTCTCGCGCGCTCATTGGCCAGTTTTCATCGTCAATAAGCGGACAGACACATGAATTTATAATTTATGAGATGCGTCAACGAGCGAGAGCGGACAATTTAACAATGGACTATTTTACGGTTGTCTGCTCGCTCGCCTATTCTTATTCTAACTAGTTGGCATTTACATGAGAAAAGCAGAAAGGTTTGTATCAAAGCAAGGTCACCTTCAGCCTCGCTTGCATTCATAGGCCTGGTAACTAAGCACACGAATTTGCTATCGTAGAAAACAAATTCATGTCAGTTTTTCATCCGTCTGTCCTGTTGTGGACAATGGATTTCATAACATCGGCTATCGCCTCGTAGATCCTCGGCTAAATTGACAATGTTATGACGAAATTCATGATCAATAACAGGACAGACGCATGAAAAACTGACGTCAATTTGCTAAATAGTGAACAACTTAATTAGTTAAAAATTTTAGGAAGCATTTGTCAACGCCATCCATCGACACGAATACGGGCCTTTCGGCTTGGCAGGTGTTATGCTAATAGCGTTACAATCTTCTTAAACGAGTTATGTTATTTGGAGATTTACCAAACGTGCAAGAAGTTGGAAAGAGTTCGTAAGATGCAGAAAGCCGTTCACAAAATTCGGTTCGTCCACCATATTGCTTGGGAGCCGCTTGTTTTCTTGGTTATGACCGCTGACCTTCATTCTAGTCTCCGCCGTCTTCAAGCCTGACGACTTGCAGAGAAAGCAGAGTAGGTCGCCGTAAAACAAAGAGATCGTTATTTCACAAACAAATGAACCTGTTTAAAGACTGGAATACTCTATCAGTCGTTTTGTGTTCTATTTCTATCTTGGCATTAATTTCATCAGCAAGAGGAATACTGACTGAAGATGTGAAAGGTAAGAAAAACTCGTGAAACCCAAGAGATTTTCAAAGCTGTCGAAAGCTCCACTCAATCATAAAGTGCTTATAGTTTGCCAAGTAGTTTTCAAGCTTGCTTTTTGCTTAACTTAGTATAATTCAAGAGTGCAGTATGATTTTCTCTCCATGGCCTTGTTTCTTCCTTATTAATTGTTACTGACAATTTGTTGCAGCTTGCTTAAACGTTTTCGCTATTTTAATTTTGCTGACGTATTTTCTGCATGAATCTCATCAGCAGTTAAGCTCATATTTTCAGACTAAAGCTTAAGTACATGTTTTATTTTTCACAGGGAACGCTGTTCAAAACATCGAATATTACGAGTTCGTAGACTACAATGTTACTGATGTTCACAAACAACATCTAGACGCGATGAATTTGCTGAAAAGTTCTGTCGTCACCATCGACTTTAGCGCCTTTAAGAGGTATTTACAGATATTTAACGAGTTCAAATAGAACTGTAGACGCTGTAATAAATGTAATGAACACAATATGTTTGTTACACTTTGTCTTGATAAAATCAAAAGGGGATGCAAGAAACATAATGGCAAAAAGAGCCGGTTTAAAAAAAAAATCTTTACTTTGGGAAGGAGGGGAGGTGTGTAAGATGGCAATTATTGTAAGGTAATTTTGATATATATTTTTTTCGTGTATTCTTTTCCAATGAGTATCTTTTGAACGAGAGGAAAAAAATAAATTGAATTCATTCAGTCAGTCTTCTTGACTATTCCCCGTATGATCTTATTTTCTAACAATGCTACTATGTTTTTAGCTTAGACTAAAATTTGTGGTTCATAGACAGAATAAAATTGTGCTGTGGTCTGGATAGAACGCCTAATTTCCCAAGAGGAAATAATTATGGTAGAACAGAGGTTTGGGAGATGTGAGGTTTACGCTGAGAACCAGTTTTAAGTTTGTTGCAGACAATGAAAACTGTTTTTTCTAATTGATAAATCTTGCCTCTTATCTGGCTCAAGATGGAAATATACCTATGATTAATAAACTAATAAAGTTACAAAGTAACTATTTAAGACATTTAAGAAATTCAATGACTAGTTTTATATTTCTCAAAGGAATTTCAGCCTGTTACTAGAACAACATAAAAGATTGTTCTTCAAAGATACCAAGTTTAGAACACTGAGTTCTAATGCTGAGGAAAAAACTGGCTATGATACAAGGACTGCTTACACAGGAACTGTGAAAGGTAACTACTCTTATATAATATAATTTTCTCCTACAGTTTTGCAAGGTGGGCAACCAGTCTCTGCGTAAATCTCGAACTGGATCACCCCTTTAAAATGAAACGAAATGAATGTTGTTAATTAAAATATGAGCAATAAAATTGTGCCAGTTTTGAGACTATTAATGTTGAACTGCCAAAGCTTATTGCTGTTGGAAAAATATAAAGAGAATTGTGTACTGGATTCGACGGCAGAACTTACTGTCCAGTGATGCAAAGTTTGTTGATAGTTGATAGATTCAAACCGCAGCAAATATTTACATGTAGACATTTGCGTCAAGATGAGCAGTTTGATTGGCGTAAAAACCTGTTCATAACACAGTTCCCTGGCTTCCCCTTAGAGCTCGTTTTGTTTTTGGAGAAAAAACGGAAAAGCCCAGGGGTTGAGTTTGCTCCTCGATAGAGGATTTTTGCGCTCGCTCAAGAGAGAACGCCTGGGCGCAAGATTGTAGCTTTGCGGCTGCTGTTGTAAAAAGCGCTATGAATATCGCCCGCGTGTTGGTTGGACACGTTTCGGCAAAGGAACTTGTAAGGGAAAAACTAGCAATTTTTTTCATGATTTTCATACAAACGAACAAATAAAACTGACTTGTGATGTATATCAACTAAACCTTGCTCATTGTTTACACTAAAATAAAACCAAACTACTAGAGAAAATTACTACAGACCAAAGTGTACATTTGTCAAACTGGTCATGGAAATCGTTAAAATACTCACGTTTTTTTCTTCTCTCTGTTCTCCTTTTTCAGGTGACCTTAAGTCCTTCGCAATGGGACACATATTAGAGGGAAAATTTGACGGAAGTTTCTTTGCATTTGGTGAATCGTTTCACCTAGAGCCTGCCGAGCGATACTTTCACTTCAAGACGCCTTTCCATTCAATAATTTTTCCTGCTTCAAGTGTTCGATTTAATTCCTCAGGAATTCAAAGGAAAATGGCTCGTGTTAAAGATCTACAACCTGTGGTGGCTCAGGTATTGACACTTTATTCCTTCGAACATCTACAGTTATCGACGTAGTTCTGCTTTCCTTTGAAGCTATGAAGCCATTTTCAAATGACTGACATGTAAAACCCAAAGCTGTAATGGGCCAATCACAAGAAACAAAAATGACGTAATGAGAATTTCATACAGAACATGCAACTGGTGCCAAGCGCGGGAGAACCATGTGGTCACTGTACTTGGCATAAGTTACATGCATGGTTTCCCGCGCTTTTCATCGGCATCGATATTTTGCTATACTTCCCTCCATCTACTCAGGGCTACTCGCTTTTTTCACGTTTTACTTATTGTATTGCTCCAGGCTACCAGTAAACGAATACGCCGCGACAACCTCAGCAACTCCAGCCTCAACACATGCACTTTACATATTGCTGCTGACCACTCATTTTTCAAGCACGTGGGCTCAGGTTCTGAGAGCGCCACTGTAGCAGAGATGGTGTATCACGTGGCAATGACAGACAAATCATTCAGGGCAACAGACTTCAACCAAGATGGAGGGCCTGGAGATGATATCGGATTTGTCATAGCAGTGGTTACTGTGTTTAAGGATGCAGAATCAGAAGGTAATAAGTGAGATTTTTCTTTGTGCCGTAAATTCCTAGCATTATTTATCGGCCAGTGAAATACGTTTAGCGATTCTTCAGTGCAAATATTATTTCATTGCAAGCTTGAAACGTAATTTATTAGATCTGGGCTATTGAACCAGGGTGAGGTCAAGATAGCTGGATATTGGCCAAGTTGTGGGTATTCATAGACCGAGTTATAGTTGAGTTTCATTATCACGCAAAAAAGACTGACCTAAACTTAACCGAATCGCAATATCTATCTGGGGAATAACCAAGAATATTCCCCAATTTTCAAAACTGCGCGCGTTGCGAAAAAGATTTGAAGAATAATAAACACAATAGCCTCCATTTGGGGCGGAAATAAGCTCGGATATTTGTCCCTAGACATTATCTGTCCCTCGAAGCTCACAGTTTTCCTCGACCTACGCTCTCAGAAAACTGTTCGCTTCTCGGAACAGATACTTGAACCGCGGACAGATATCCTAGCATATTTTCGCGTCAAATGGAGGCTATTGTTTTACGTATATCTGACGAACAGGGTTCTCAATATAAACATTACTTCCTTAGTTCATTTTAAATGCTCATTGGTTATTTCAAATTCTAACTTACATTAGTGTAAATTAAGAGAATTCTGTTCTCCGATTGGCCAAGCTACTCACTATCTATTCTGTTGTAGATAGTAAGTAGCTTAGCAGTTTGCGGTTGTTAACAAAATGGCGGGCGCTTCTCTGCATTTTCAAAGGGTCTTTCAAGAGGATCATAGAGAGAGTTTTGACCGGCTAGTAGATTTATACTCTAACAATTAGATTATTCGCGTGAGATTTCTATGCGTGAAAGAATCTCGAGGTCATAATAAATATAAAACAGAAGGACTTGTGTAACCTCTCCAGGCTCCTTAGAAAGTCCACAAGACATCGGTATCATGCCTTATTTGGTTAAATGGAGCGAGATAGATCACAGCGCCTACTGCTTAGCTCTGCTGTTCACTTACCGAGATTTCTCTGACGGGGCCCTGGGACTAGCCTGGGTAGCGGAGCCCGAATTTNAACCACTCTTTATCAGTTGATGCTACAATCATGGCATCAAAAAACTGCCCAATCATTAGGGAACACGTTGGTATCGTTTTCGGGACACTCTTTGTTACCATAGCAACAGTTTGATCTGCTAAAAACACCCTTACGTTAGCTTTAAATGCGTATATTTCAAATACTGCACGCTGAACCCTCTTTTTATCATCTGGTACTGCATGATCCTTTTTCCCTTCGTGCAATTAGCCTCTTGAGTCGTTCCACTGTCTCTGATACCTTTCTACCTTTGTCTGGGAGGCTTTGCGAGAACTTGGTTCCACAGCCACTTTGACAATGTTATGACGCAATTTATCATCAATACGAGAACAGACGCATAACAAACTGACGTCAATTTGTTAATTTTTACGACAACTGCAGAAATTCTCGCGCGCTCATTGGCCAGTTTTCATCGTCAATAAGCGGACAGACACATGAATTTATAATTTATGAGATGCGTCAACGAGCGAGAGCGGACAATTTAACAATGGACTATTTTACGGTTGTCTGCTCGCTCGCCTATTCTTATTCTAACTAGTTGGCATTTACATGAGAAAAGCAGAAAGGTTTGTATCAAAGCAGGGTCACCGTCAGCCTCGCTTGCATTCATAGGCCTGGAAACTAAGCACACGAATTTGCTCTCGTAAAAAACAAACTGATGTCAGTTTTTCATGCGTCAGTCCTGTTGTGGACAATGGATTTCATAACCTCGGCTATCGCCTCGTGGATCCTCAGCTACATTGACAATGTTATGACGAAATTCATGATCAATAACAGGACAGACGCATGAAAAACTGACGTCAATTTGCTAAATAGTGAACAACTTAATTAGTTAAAAATTTTAGGAAGCATTTGTCAACGCCATCCATCGACACGAATACGGGCCTTTCGGCTTGGCAGGTGTTATGCTAATAGCGTTACAATCTTCTTAAACGAGTTATGTTATTTGGAGATTTACCAAACGTGCAAGAAGTTGGAAAGAGTTCGTAAGATGCAGAAAGCCGTTCACAAAATTCGGTTCGTCCACCATATTGCTTGGGAGCCGCTTGTTTTCTTGGTTATGACCGCTGACCTTCATTCTAGTCTCCGCCGTCTTCAAGCCTGACGACTTGCAGAGAAAGCAGAGTAGGTCGCCGTAAAACAAAGAGATCGTTATTTCACAAACAAATGAACCTGTTTAAAGACTGGAATACTCTATCAGTCGTTTTGTGTTCTATTTCTATCTTGGCATTAATTTCATCAGCAAGAGGAATACTGACTGAAGATGTGAAAGGTAAGAAAAACTCGTGAAACCCAAGAGATTTTCAAAGCTGTCGAAAGCTCCACTCAATCATAAAGTGCTTATAGTTTGCCAAGTAGTTTTCAAGCTTGCTTTTTGCTTAACTTAGTATAATTCAAGAGTGCAGTATGATTTTCTCTCCATGGCCTTGTTTCTTCCTTATTAATTGTTACTGACAATTTGCTGCAGCTTGCTTAAACGTTTGCGCTATTTTAATTTTGCTGACGTATTTTCTGCATGAGTCTCATCAGCAGTTAAGCTCATATTTTCAGACTAAAGCTTAAGTACATGTTTTATTTTTCACAGGGAACGCTGTTCAAAACATCGAATATTACGAGTTCGTAGACTACAATGTTACTGATGTTCACAAACAACATCTAGACGCGATGAATTTGCTGAAAAGTTCTGTCGTCACCATCGACTTTAGCGCCTTTAAGAGGTATTTACAGATATTTAACGAGTTCAAATAGAACTGTAGACGCTGTAATAAATGTAATGAACACAATATGTTTGTTACACTTTGTCTTGATAAAATCAAAAGGGGATGCAAGAAACATAATGGCAAAAAGAGCCGGTTTAAAAAAAAAATCTTTACTTTGGGAAGGAGGGGAGGTGTGTAAGATGGCAATTATTGTAAGGTAATTTTGATATATATTTTTTTCGTGTATTCTTTTCCAATGAGTATCTTTTGAACGAGAGGAAAAAAATAAATTGAATTCATTCAGTCAGTCTTCTTGACTATTCCCCGTATGATCTTATTTTCTAACAATGCTACTATGTTTTTAGCTTAGACTAAAATTTGTGGTTCATAGACAGAATAAAATTGTGCTGTGGTCTGGATAGAACGCCTAATTTCCCAAGAGGAAATAATTATGGTAGAACAGAGGTTTGGGAGATGTGAGGTTTACGCTGAGAACCAGTTTTAAGTTTGTTGCAGACAATGAAAACTGTTTTTTCTAATTGATAAATCTTGCCTCTTATCTGGCTCAAGATGGAAATATACCTATGATTAATAAACTAATAAAGTTACAAAGTAACTATTTAAGACATTTAAGAAATTCAATGACTAGTTTTATATTTCTCAAAGGAATTTCAGCCTGTTACTAGAACAACATAAAAGATTGTTCTTCAAAGATACCAAGTTTAGAACACTGAGTTCTAATGCTGAGGAAAAAACTGGCTATGATACAAGGACTGCTTACACAGGAACTGTGAAAGGTAACTACTCTTATATAATATAATTTTCTCCTACAGTTTTGCAAGGTGGGCAACCAGTCTCTGCGTAAATCTCGAACTGGATCACCCCTTTAAAATGAAACGAAATGAATGTTGTTAATTAAAATATGAGCAATAAAATTGTGCCAGTTTTGAGACTATTAATGTTGAACTGCCAAAGCTTATTGCTGTTGGAAAAATATAAAGAGAATTGTGTACTGGATTCGACGGCAGAACTTACTGTCCAGTGATGCAAAGTTTGTTGATAGTTGATAGATTCAAACCGCAGCAAATATTTACATGTAGACATTTGCGTCAAGATGAGCAGTTTGATTGGCGTAAAAACCTGTTCATAACACAGTTCCCTGGCTTCCCCTTAGAGCTCGTTTTGTTTTTGGAGAAAAAACGGAAAAGCCCAGGGGTTGAGTTTGCTCCTCGATAGAGGATTTTTGCGCTCGCTCAAGAGAGAACGCCTGGGCGCAAGATTGTAGCTTTGCGGCTGCTGTTGTAAAAAGCGCTATGAATATCGCCCGCGTGTTGGTTGGACACGTTTCGGCAAAGGAACTTGTAAGGGAAAAACTAGCAATTTTTTTCATGATTTTCATACAAACGAACAAATAAAACTGACTTGTGATGTATATCAACTAAACCTTGCTCATTGTTTACACTAAAATAAAACCAAACTACTAGAGAAAATTACTACAGACCAAAGTGTACATTTGTCAAACTGGTCATGGAAATCGTTAAAATACTCACGTTTTTTTCTTCTCTCTGTTCTCCTTTTTCAGGTGACCTTAAGTCCTTCGCAATGGGACACATATTAGAGGGAAAATTTGACGGAAGTTTCTTTGCATTTGGTGAATCGTTTCACCTAGAGCCTGCCGAGCGATACTTTCACTTCAAGACGCCTTTCCATTCAATAATTTTTCCTGCTTCAAGTGTTCGATTTAATTCCTCAGGAATTCAAAGGAAAATGGCTCGTGTTAAAGATCTACAACCTGTGGTGGCTCAGGTATTGACACTTTATTCCTTCGAACATCTACAGTTATCGACGTAGTTCTGCTTTCCTTTGAAGCTATGAAGCCATTTTCAAATGACTGACATGTAAAACCCAAAGCTGTAATGGGCCAATCACAAGAAACAAAAATGACGTAATGAGAATTTCATACAGAACATGCAACTGGTGCCAAGCGCGGGAGAACCATGTGGTCACTGTACTTGGCATAAGTTACATGCATGGTTTCCCGCGCTTTTCATCGGCATCGATATTTTGCTATACTTCCCTCCATCTACTCAGGGCTACTCGCTTTTTTCACGTTTTACTTATTGTATTGCTCCAGGCTACCAGTAAACGAATACGCCGCGACAACCTCAGCAACTCCAGCCTCAACACATGCACTTTACATATTGCTGCTGACCACTCATTTTTCAAGCACGTGGGCTCAGGTTCTGAGAGCGCCACTGTAGCAGAGATGGTGTATCACGTGGCAATGACAGACAAATCATTCAGGGCAACAGACTTCAACCAAGATGGAGGGCCTGGAGATGATATCGGATTTGTCATAGCAGTGGTTACTGTGTTTAAGGATGCAGAATCAGAAGGTAATAAGTGAGATTTTTCTTTGTGCCGTAAATTCCTAGCATTATTTATCGGCCAGTGAAATACGTTTAGCGATTCTTCAGTGCAAATATTATTTCATTGCAAGCTTGAAACGTAATTTATTAGATCTGGGCTATTGAACCAGGGTGAGGTCAAGATAGCTGGATATTGGCCAAGTTGTGGGTATTCATAGACCGAGTTATAGTTGAGTTTCATTATCACGCAAAAAAGACTGACCTAAACTTAACCGAATCGCAATATCTATCTGGGGAATAACCAAGAATATTCCCCAATTTTCAAAACTGCGCGCGTTGCGAAAAAGATTTGAAGAATAATAAACACAATAGCCTCCATTTGGGGCGGAAATAAGCTCGGATATTTGTCCCTAGACATTATCTGTCCCTCGAAGCTCACAGTTTTCCTCGACCTACGCTCTCAGAAAACTGTTCGCTTCTCGGAACAGATACTTGAACCGCGGACAGATATCCTAGCATATTTTCGCGTCAAATGGAGGCTATTGTTTTACGTATATCTGACGAACAGGGTTCTCAATATAAACATTACTTCCTTAGTTCATTTTAAATGCTCATTGGTTATTTCAAATTCTAACTTACATTAGTGTAAATTAAGAGAATTCTGTTCTCCGATTGGCCAAGCTACTCACTATCTATTCTGTTGTAGATAGTAAGTAGCTTAGCAGTTTGCGGTTGTTAACAAAATGGCGGGCGCTTCTCTGCATTTTCAAAGGGTCTTTCAAGAGGATCATAGAGAGAGTTTTGACCGGCTAGTAGATTTATACTCTAACAATTAGATTATTCGCGTGAGATTTCTATGCGTGAAAGAATCTCGAGGTCATAATAAATATAAAACAGAAGGACTTGTGTAACCTCTCCAGGCTCCTTAGAAAGTCCACAAGACATCGGTATCATGCCTTATTTGGTTAAATGGAGCGAGATAGATCACAGCGCCTACTGCTTAGCTCTGCTGTTCACTTACCGAGATTTCTCTGACGGGGCCCTGGGACTAGCCTGGGTAGCGGAGCCCGAATTTGACACACCTTGCGGAATATGCTCCAAGATGGTCCGCCTGGAAGAGGAGCATGAAGCACTGAGCCTCAACACGGCACTGGCGACCCTTTTGAATTATGGCGTCAGGTTACCAAGAAAGGCTTCGGTGATAACAGTTATGCACGAGTTTGGTCATAGCTTTGGGTCCGAGGTAAGCATACCACAGAAAGCTAAACGGTTCTGTTATGCCAGGCCATGCCTTTTTTTCGTGCTACCAACCCAAATTGTCGCGTTTTCAAAAAGGAACCAATTCTGTTATGACAGGAGCCAAATGTGATGATGTAGTCAAACAGTTTTTCGCCTTAATCTAAAAAATAAACATTATTTTGCAAAGCAGATTTCTTATGACATTTCGTAACGCTGACATGAATACCAAATTCAAAATAAAAGAGAGAGAAAATGGCAAGTTTTCTCCTACAGCTCACAACTATGTTGATTTTGTAAGCACGTCTTGTTCTTTTCAGTCTTCAGGACAATGATGTTGAGTAACCGGGCCTCCTCGCCTTCAAATGTAATGATCAAAAAGACATAAGTGTCCCGTCCGTAATAAGCGCCCCTCTCCAATAAGCTTCTCCCTTGAGCTACCAAACGTAAATTAGCATCCGTGGCCCTTGAGGGCGAAAGGTCTAATTGTTTTAGCATCACCCAACTAGTCGGACAGAAAAGGCAATAATAAAGTTAGCAAATGCAAGTTTAAGAAATATTTATTTGGGAATAAAACGAAAGAAAGCGTCACGCTCGATTGCCCCAATTTCGATACTCGAGGACTATTACTAATGGTTCTATAGTAGCGTAGCCAATTAAAATGCAGGATTTGCATTTGTCCACTAGTTGGGTGATACTAAATATATGTTATTGGCCGGCTGGGAGGTCTGTGTAGTGAAAAACGGCGACCGAGGTCTTGAATATGCTGCCCGTGGCCTGCGGCCTCGGGCAGCATTTTCCAACCCGAGGAATTGGTTTACATGCCGTCTACAAAGACTACAAATCATTCGTAAAAAAATATAACGAGCGAACGAGCGAGTAACTCAGATACTAGACAAGGTAAGATGTATAAAATAACAGATTTATTTCAAACTACTTTATGTTAGTTGCATTTAATTCACCAGTTAAGTTCTCCAAAAGTATTTTTCCTGTGTGAAATTTCGCGCAATGTTTGAAGTTGTACTACAGAAACAATTTTGTCAGTCGTTGCGAATCACTCGAAATCAGACTTTTCTACCGTAAACTGAGTAGCAGATAGCGAGGAAATTTCGTTAAGTGTATTCCACAGAAATGTTCTCAAATACAGTAACGATCAGAGAGGTGAATTCGACTAAAATTGACTCATTTTTTACTTAAAATTGTACAGAGAGAAACACACAGGATTACGCGCCATTATGCATTACAGCGCCGAGCTACAAACAGCCAAAATAACTCTCACAACTTCAAAAAACTCAATTGAATTTACTTACAGTCACTTTCCTTGCCATTTAAAAGTGAATAGAGATAAACTCTCGTTGATTACTTAATCGTCTCTGGAAGTGTAAAAAGGGCGAAAGATTGACGATTACCACTAATTCATTCACGAAAAGAGATGAACGCGACGGATTCCGCCCGCTGTGGGGGTCCGGATGAGAAAATTCCGCCCGCTCCAGGAACCAATCAGATTGCAGGATTTGTTGAATTCCGCCCGCTCATGAGCTGAGAAAAAGATAAAATTTTGTACGCACTGTGCTTCAATTTTAGCATGACCCAGACACAAGTGAATGTTCACCAGGCGGACGCGCTGGCAACTTTGTCATGTATTCACGAGCACGCGACGGAAATGAGCCCAACAACTTCCTGTTTTCTCCATGTAGCAAACGCAGAATGTCCCCCATAATCTCTACGAAAGGACCACAGTGTTTCATTGGTGAGTTTGCGCATATCACGAACTTGTCTAGAAACTTTATGTGATAAACTCTGCCCCCTGGCATATCGACTAGCGGAAAAGCTCTTTGCAAGGTAAGCTGAAAAATATTACAACCAAACCAAAAATCAGTCGACCGAAAAATACACTGATGAACCAATCAAAACTAAAAGCAACAATCTCGTACCCAGGGCTTCTCCCATTTCTAATGGAAAAGCCCTGAGAACGAAGTTGTAACAGTAAGTACATGTTGTTGGCGCGAAGCGTCTGAAAACGTTTTCGAGCTGATTGAAAAAGGTAGCGACAGTTTTTTAAGTCAGTCACTAAGCATGAGAAAGCGACATGAAAATAAATTTGAAATAGGTTTGACACTCAAGTAAGAAACGCTTTATTTGTTTCAAAATGAAAAGTTTCATGCAGCTTATTCCACAATTTTACTCTAGATTTGCGGAGTGACAGCTAGCGCATTTCAAGCACTGTAAAAATTTTGAAACACCTTGTCATCTTTCCGCTCGCTTTCTGAACAAATCTGCTTCTATGCTCCCTTTGACAGCTCATAACAATGGTTCGTACTGCGGAAACAAGATCGTTGAGCAGGGTGAGGACTGTGATTGTGGAAGGCCAGAGGAATGCTTGGCGGTAGACAAGTGCTGTGTGGCGAGAGATGACACCTTGAACATACCCGGATGTACGGTCAGGGAGGGAAAGCAATGCAGGTGTGTGTTACCCCGTATGTATGACGTCAAAGCATCGTCCTCATCATTATCGTCGTGGTTTTTATCATTATGATCAAACCTTGTTCACCATATCATTTATCACCTCTGCATAGTTTTTGAAAGTCTGTGTCACATCTAGCGTTGTAACCGAACTGACCCAACAGCCAGACCTGAAAGTGATTTTACCAAATGCTGAACGGATATGTTGCTCATTTCCCGACGATGGTTACACATGCTGTTGCCATGAACCAAATGCTGCGTTGTGATTGGCTACCCGAGCGGATAAGAATACGCTATCTTGCCCGCTCGGGATTACCCGCTGGGTCCCGCAACTGAAATAGTGATCTTTTTCCTTGTAATAAATCATTTACTGGCTATGTTAGTTCGTCGAAAATGGCAAGATATTGGCCTTGCTTTTTTTTTCATGTTTATGGACCTCAACTCGATCATAACATATGTAATACACTGCTTTCCTTTCAAGAAAATATCTGTGGGAAGAATTGCTCTAGCTGATTTCCCTGAGGGTATTGTTTTTCATTGAGTTCTGTCAAGTAATGTTTGTTTCTCTTTTCAGTTCTGTTGCCGGAAGGTGTTGCACTGAAGAATGTACTTTTATCCCAGAATCCCAGGCGCGCGTGTGTCAAGCAGAAACAGAGTGCAGCCTGGAATCTACTTGTAAATATCCTTTGATAAGATAACGCGAAGAGAACGTTCCAGCAAATAGGCCGGGAGCCTAAACGTTTTACTCTGACAGTATAAATGGGTATCGGCAAATTTAATGCTAGGGGGTAGCCCTTTGATGGACTAGCATCTCATCCAGGGCGGGGGGGAGTATAAATACTCCTAGTTGCTTTATTGCTGCTAATAATCCATTAAATATTTTCGCTCGCGCGCGATTGGTCTAAACGCGTCATGTGACCGAATATTCCCCAGCTAAAACTGGGGAATATCCGAGAATATTCCCCAATTTTTAAGGCTGCGTGTGTGGCGAAAAATATTTAAAGGATAATCAACACAATAGCTTCCATTTGACTTTGAAAATATGCTTGGATATTTGTCCTTGGACATTATCTATTCCTCAAAACTCTCGGAAAACTGTTCACTTCTCGGAACAGGTAATATCCGCGGACAAATATCCGAGCATTTTTTCGCGCCAAATGAAGACTATTGAGAAAAGCGCCGGCCTGGTGGGCAACTTACAAAGCCTCTCTCTGCCCGGGGTATAACTGGGAACTGGCAAATTGGAATTGACCATTTTAAAGTTATCTGCCCGGTGACCTGGCCTTTGGATGGCAGCGAGGCTGGAGTTGACCTTGCTTTGATACAGACCTCACTGCTTTTGTCACGTAAATGAACCTAGTTAGCATCAGAAAAAGTTGAATTACACAACAAAAGCAGTGAGGTCTGTATCAAAACAAGGTCACCTTCAGCCTTGCTGTCATTCAAATGCCAGGTCACCGAGCAGACAACTGGAAAATAGTCTATTGAGCAACCTGACAGAACGCTGGGGATTTACCTGCAAAAGACTAACATTCCTTCTGGGGGGAGTAGTCAAACTCCTAGCAGTTTCATGCTTAGTGTCGGGTGTTTTAGACCTTTCTGGAGTGATGTGATTTTCTTTAATATATCAAACTGGTATGAGTGGACGTTGTCCTGAAGCGGAGTCCAAGCCAAGCAATGTGACATGCAATGGAGGATCAAACACATGTCTGCATGGCAGCTGTACTGGTTCAATATGTGTACTATATGACACCATTGAGTGTGAATGCTACCAGAACACAGACCAAATGTGTCATGTTTGTTGCAACAACAGTCAGGTGAGTAACAAGAATTTGTAGTCTTTCAAATAGATGTCGCCTGGATAGCGCTTAGAATCCATCAGCTCAACGCTGGCAGGTAATGACTCCAGCTGGCTCTCATCTTGTTTAATCTCAAGCTGGTAGAGTCAAACAGAGCTGATTTATTTCATCTTTGATTCTCGTCGATTTTAGTTCTCGTTTGTTCGCGCCTAGATAATCATTTCCTTCTTTGTTCTGCTTTACTAGTTAAATCAGGGTGGTTTTCACTTGAGCATCAAAAGTGATTCGCACTTGCTTCAAATGCTTTTGCATTACTAGCTTAGTGATTGGTTTAAAAAACTCGCGCCACTTTTTTAAACAAATCAGGAGCTAAACCAATCACGTGCACCCGTTTTTTCGGGCTTTGCACCGGCTGCACGTGTTTCCTTCGTTTGTTGAATTGATTGGTTTTTTGTATATTCTGTGTCTTTCAGTATGCTAGACCAGATTGATCATAGTTAATAGAGGGGACTTGTTATGAAGCCCAGCAAATATCAAAGGAGCGAACAAAGATGCCAAGATTTGTTGGAAGGTCCACGACCGTTCACAATCTTTTGTTTTGCGCTCATCCACTATGCGTGAATTACGTAACCAACATGTTGCTATTGGTTAGTTCCACAGTATGGAGTAAACAACTATTGTGTTTTGTGCACGGTCGAGGCAAAAAAAAGAGAGAGAGAGAGAGAGGGAAAAAAAACATACAACGATGAACTTTGTCGAGTTTCATAACCATTCCCCTCTATTAACTATGGATTGATGAATAACATTGTTTCTAGTTTTTCGGTTTTCAGTTGAAAACTGCCTGTTGACGTCTCAGGCATCTTACCTCCAAAACCTATCTTCCGTTTTTGTCGTGAGAGTTAGCTTGTGAACGTGTTTTTGTCATCTCGTAAGCGCTGTTTTAGACAAGTTCTTGGGCTTACGTCTCATTAACGAGCCCGTTTTCTTAATCTCAGAGCGTGTGCGTATCGACTCAGGAGTTCCTGGGTCGAGTCATTCTCAAGCCTCCCGGCAGCACTTGCAAGTCTCACCAGGGTTACTGTGACTCATACGGTGTATGTGTCATTGTAGACAGTGAAAATGAACTGAGCAAACTCAGGGACACTTTCAAGAGATTCTTCTCTAAGGCAGCCATGAGGGACCTGTGGAGCTGGATAAAGAGACACTGGTAAGCCTTGTACTTTCTGGCTTTGTTAGATTACACTGCAATAAAACTTTGTACGTCATGGCGGTGCTTCGCTTGTTAAATCAACTTGCTAAGTTCTGACGTCATTGTTTTACATATTGTCCCAGGAGACTTGCCTAAATACCATGCCAAATTTGAATTTGACATTCAAAATATAAGGAGCTTGTGATAATTGATGAAGTATTTAGCTCTTTGGTTGTAATACAGATATTGGCGTTCATACACTGCAACATTTCTGAGTGATAAAATCCCCAAGTAGCCCCAACATGCCTTGTAAAATCTCGAGTTTTTAAACCCGCGTCACACAAACAGAATATCATACATCGGGCACAAATGCGTACACTGTTCTTTGTTGTATTTTAGAAAACAAACCTAAGAAAATACGAGCGCTGATTGGTGAAAAATCTTGTTTCTATAACTCGATAGAAACACAGAACTAGCACGAGCTGTTGACGTAATGATGGCGCGAGCAAAGAGAATTTACATTTTGATAATCACAGTTAARAAGTTGTTTTCCTTTTTTTCGTCGCGGTGTTCTCTAAAWGAAATAGAAAACATGTTCTCCGTGTTTCTATCGAGTTATAGAAACACTCGTGAAAGTTTGGGAGAACTCGAAAAGGCTGTAGAAACACTCGCCTGCGGCTCGTGTTCCCACAGCATTTCCCGTTCTCCCAAACTTCCACTCGTGTTTCTATAACTCGATAGAAACACGGCACATGTTTTCTATTTCTTAAATAAATAAGGTTTCTGCCCGGTCCATGGATATTTCACCGAAACTGACTACCAAAGTCAAAACAAAGCTGTACGAGTACTACGTCAGTGCTATGCATTACACTTGACACCCGCTCGGATTGTCTTACTAGTTTACAAACACACCAAAGCGTTGAGTTTTGTTCTATCTTAAATCACGCAAACAATAGCGTCAAAGGAATGGTGGAGGAAAACACTCGTTTGCCCCTGGCATGTTTTCTTGTTTTTACCTTTATTTTTCTTTCTTGTTCTCCTCGTGAGTTTCTCAACAGAACAAAGCACGGTTAAGACTAATTATTAATCAAGCCACCGATAAAATACGACACTGAAAAAAAAGATGATGTATAGAGCTTTTTCGCTAACGTGGCCATTAGCCAGCATGCACATTTATTGGAATAAAAGTAAGTTTTAAATAAGAAAAGAGTTCAACTTCTGGTTTGGGATACCAATATGGCAGCTGTTTCATTGTTTTGGGATACCAGTATAGTTGCCGTGAAAACAAAATAGTATTTTCATTCCATTGCGATGTCCAGATCAACTGTGATTGGACACTTGCACACGCTGAAGCAAAGCGGATTTTCGTCAAGCGTTTTTGTTTTGGGCAAAAAAGTGTTTGTTTTGTAAAACAAATGTCCAACTGTTCAGTTCTGTCTAGTGACGTCAGCACACGTCCATGGTTGAAACTTTAAAAAGAGTTTCAATTTAAAGTTTTCATAATTTCCTCAACATAACTACAGAGTGTGTGAAGGAGAAAATACAGTGTTAAAATGAATCGCATCCACTACAGCTGGCTAGGTATGGGCTGCTCAGACGAGTGTCATCTGATTGCGACTAGCAAATCTAAACATGATAAGAAGGCAGAAATGGCACGATTTCCAAGAATCTTTGGCCGAAAGAAAAGGGAACTTCTGCAGAGAAAGGAACGATTTGCCCGAAAAGCGGAACATCTTCACGACACTTTCGATTGTTCAAATGATAGTGAGAAGACATCACACGAAGGAGTCGCTATTTGGCAATTGAATATAAACAAAAGACGACGAATGGCTACCTGTGAACAACTAGAAAAGATAACAAAGGTAACAAGCGACAGAAATGTTACCCTGCACGATTTACGGAAAGCTTTGGTGGTTGTCAATCGATTGGAAGACTATGGCTTGCTCTAAAGAACATTAAACAGTGTTCCTGTGTCAACAGTTTCAAAACAACACTTAAAACTTATGTTTTGAGAAAAACATTGACAGAATTGATTTTCCTGACGGGCCACATTTGCTCACGCGAAATCCAAACCCACACACTTTCCGTTTGTACGGCGACCGTCCTTTTTTCAATAAACAAGAAAGTAAATACTCTTGAGGATCCGATGTTTTACTATTTTGTCATGGAGATCGATCTATTGCCTAAAACTGACCGGAGAAACATTATTCTTCTTTTAATAAATTATTTAGAAACCTAAAGACAATGTATTTCCCCTTTTTCTCGCATCTCAATACTTTCGCGTTTTTCTTTGTCACGTTAAACTTAAAAGTGTTTTAATGTAAAAAGTTCAACTGACGAAGCTGAGAAATAACAAGATCGGAATCAAGCTCTTTTTTAAAACTTAAACAACATGGCGAATAAAGGACAATGAATGGTTGCTATAACTTTTGTCTACCGTTGTCACAGCACGTAGACGATACGCGTTTTAGCTACCCGTAAGAGACTGCAGTTTTTCGGCTCTTGTTTCAAGCGCCGAAAAAAAAAAAGAGCCGAAAAAAAACCGGATGCTCTCGCAGACTATACATGGAAATCAAACATGGCTGTTTTCCATACTGCCTTGTTACTAAATATACCATGTCGTGGGCTTTGTTTTCGGCTTCAAAACTGCAGCTTTAGGCATGTAGGTTATGTGACAAGCCGTGGTAAGTTTGTATCGGCCGCTCAAGGCCGGGGGTTGGAGTGGTGGAGGGGCTAAATTACTAACTGTATGCGTGGCAATTTCTTCTAACAGCAAATCTGCTGTGTTTCAGGTATTACGTCCTAGTGATCATCGGTAGCATTGTGTTAGTTGTTGTTCTCCTCAAATTTACTTCCCGAGAAAGAACATCTCTTCTGAGCCTTGCAAGGCGAGCTCTTTTGCCATACATCGTCCGGAATCAGCAGCATGTACATCTAAGAGCCCCTCAGGTGTCTTTGGACAAATTTGTCGATGCAGAGGAGGAACTGGGCAATAATAGCGGGGACAGAAATCTGAGAGAAGCGGATGTATACGAATCACGTGAGTAAATAGTTTTCGTATCTTTGTGCCATCTCTTATGGCAATCATCGTTCCGAGAATAAATCACCCGTAAGAAAATAAAAGAACAGACTTTCTCAGCGTAGGCTCCCATTCGTGCCCGGGCTTTGAGCGTCGCGGACATGTTTGACCATCGAGCTCGGCTTTCTAAGTTCGAATTTAGTCTAATAAAGGAATAAAGAGGGAATTTAGAACTTACCATACAATGTCAAAAAATCGGAGATTTAAGTCGCCAGCGATTGGCGAAAATTGCGTAGTGTGCCCGCAACAGGCAAGGACGAAATTCGCTTTGCGACTTTCCCTGGCGATCAAATTTGCTGCTATCGGTGTGTACGATCGCCTGTTACATTACCGGCTTGAGACTAGGCTGCGTGACGTTCGGCAGTGAATTTACTTGAAAATCTCGATCCGAAGTAAACACCTCACTGTTCCAGTTACTTTTGCATGTTGAATGTTTCAGCTGAATCCCGTCTGCAGGCTTTATTTCCTGATGTGACCAGCTGGGATTTAGTCAGTGCTATCCGACATTCCACATCTGAACAAGCTGCGATCAACAGACTTCTGGCTCAGGGATATGTTATGACTGAATATTGAACCAGGTAAACACAAGCGCTATTCTTAACACTAGCTTCAAACCTTTCAAATTCACCTGGCTTGTCGTGTGAAATATAGAAAAAGTGCCTTCCTCGAATGAGCGTCGCACTTCACTTCAAAGACAAACGTATCTTTGTGATACGCGCCGCTCTCGAATTAGCGTCGGATGAAAACGTCGAAAAAATCAATAAGCGCGCCGGCGCTTTTTTAAGTAAATAGGGTATACTAAGGTTATTCCATCGAAAGTTTGACTGCGATCCCAAAATTTTGTAGTCGATATAGTGATCGTGTAACACATTTGCATCTGATTTATAATTTCAATACTTTGCCTACTATTTTTTCTCTTTATAGGTGGTTTTCTCCTTTTCCCTCAAGGCCTGCGGGAACAGTGGAATGACATTTAAAAAAGACTTTCTTTAAACTACTCGATTCTTTGTTATATCCCGTTATGTATTTTCCTCCGTGGTCAGAATGGTTTTAAAAGACCGTATAAAGCAATAGTTCTCTAACGTGTCACACAGGCTTGTGTTTGTTGTTTGCTCAATGCGGGTTAAGAGTTTCATCTCTAGGTAAGTTGAAAAATCAACGGCCGTTAACTTCGATATCATGTAATCGTACCATAATTCTTTGGGATCTGGACAATAACGTTCAATTATCATTTAGCGCGACTAGTATTCTCCTAAGACAGGCTGTCTTTCCAGCTAACTTGGTACTACAACAACGATAATGCAGAAGAGGACTACAGTTGGATTGTTTAAACGGTGTGATCGCGTTAGCAAGGTACATAAATGACTGAGAGAATTCCTTCATTGTGATTGGTTAAGAGCAGGCAAACTTATCATTTATTTTTAATTTGCGCTGTCAAGCAAATTAACGAGCAAAGCTCAAATTAAAGCTCAGCAAGTATGATTTGGACTACTTGTGCCATTTGATTTCTTTCAATTATACACGCCTAAAGGCACGTGCAATTTTGAAGAATTTTCATAAATCACCGGTGTAAAGCATAATTGCACTCGCATTCATACGGTTACCTCAACTAATTCCTCTGTTCGCACCACAGTCAACACAGCTGACGCATTTTACTGTCAATGAACACAACTACCACTTGATTTTCATGTCCTTCTTGTTTGTTATCTCATGGAGCCTTTCGAATGGTCGTAGAACTGGTCGGAAGGCGGGGACGGGGTGAGGAAATTTACAAAAAAATTGTAATCGTTGTTCGCATTACAAGGAAGTCGCATTAACGGGGCTTTTTGATACAAAATTAGCCGAGCTTTTAGCTAGGCTGTAACAAATTGGTCCCATTACCCAAGTGACCTTAAGGCGTGATTCCACAACTGTTCTCACTGGGAGCCTCTAGTCTATTCTTTCCCTTCTCTCTGTCACGCAATGTTGGGAGAGACAGGGTCCCACTCTCCCCACGTTATGTGGAAGAGAAAGAGCCAGAACCAAGGACGATGGGGATCTCGCGAACAGCGACCGTTCCAATGCTTCGCCTCTCTCCCCTCTCTCGGAGCTACTTTCTCCCAATCCCCTCAGGTTGATTCCTTCTCATATCGTATTTTATAATCCATCAAATATTTTCGCTCGCTCGCGATTGGTCAAAACGCGTCACGTGACTCTATGCCCCATCTTGAAACAAGGGAATATCTGGTTAAGTGATTCCCCAATTTTCAAAACTGAGCTTGTTGCAAAAAATATTTTCAGGGTAATAAATACAGTAGCCTCTATCTAGCGCAAAAATATGTTCGGATATTTGTCCTTGGACATCATCTGCTCCTCAAAGCTCACAGTTTTCCTTGAGCTACGCTCTCGGAAAACTCTTCGCTTCTCGCCCATCGAGTAAGTGCCTCCTTCAAATAAGCGCCCCCTCTCTCCCCTTCCCTCCCACCCTCGAATAGGCGCACCCACCTTATCCGAAATTTGAAATAAGTGTGAAATAAATGAATTGCTTTTACTTGTTCAGCACGAAATGAAATGCTGAGATGTGGTGATACCACATTGCAACGGTGTTTCAAATAATCATGTTATATTCAGGAACCAAACCATACATGTAAAATTCTGGTCTTATTGAACAATACAGCAAAGCAAACTACATCAACTTTATTAAAGACTGACGTATGGAATTAGTTTGCAAGTAATTTCTGGTTTATTTTACTGAAGCACTTGTACTCACTTTTGTTGTACACAATTGTAACTTGCTCAGTGGAAAACATGGACGCATTTCTTTCCCGTATCAGTTAAAAACAAACGCCCATCGTTAGAGACGGCGATAAATTGAGGTGACTGGAACCCATTGTCGCGACCTTCAATGCTTGTAACATGCCTCCCATCCAGTGTGAACACTTGTAGTCGGCAGTCATCGCTGTCGCAGACAATGAGGTTGTTGAACTTATCAATGCCGAGGCCTACTGGTCTGCTCAGCTGTTCGTTAACTTCCCTGGACTTGCCAATGTCATACAGGAAATCACCGTCTTCAGTGAAAACCTTCACACACCGTGTCTTTGGAAAGGAAACGAAGAACCTGTCTTTGTGATGAATTGCAAATGAAGGCGAACCATCTAGGACTGGATCACCGCCAAAGGAATCAAGCTTATGGTATCCGTCAGAGGAGAGAATTTTAACATCAGCTTCAGCGCTATCACAGATAACCAAATCACCATTGCTCTTCACAGAAACAGAACACGGTTTCTTTAGGTGCCCAACGTAGTTCAGAAAGTTTCCTTCATTAGAACATAGTATCATAGCTCCGCATTCTTCGATGACAATTATTTCGCCTAAAATACTAAATTCTACCGCACGCGGTCTCTGCAAATTTTTCGTGCTATCTCTAATGTCGCCAAACTGTCTTAGATACTTGCCTTCAGAATCGAATATCTGGATTCTCTTGTTCAGACTGTCTGCAACGGCTACCTTCCCATCGGTTTTGTTGACAGCGATGCCATGAGGGAACTGGAAGTGGCCATTCGAACCCAGTTCGAACGCTTTCTGGTAGAGACACGCGCTCACCTTAACTCTTAAGGGACTGACAGTCAGCGGTCGTCCATTAACACTGATCATTACGTCATGGCGACCGTCAACTTCGGGTGTAAACGAAAATTCATATCTTCCATCGCTTTTATGTTCGGATGCATTTTTCCATTCTTCTCGCAATGGGCTCTGGATTTTCATCCTGACTTGGTCGTCTTTCTGATAACATTGCTTCGAACTTGAATCTCTTGTGCGAACTAAAATCGTGGTTTCCCTTCCAACAACAGATTCTGTTAGTCCTTTAACGCGTGCTGTACACCGTGACGGATCTGTGTTACTTGTAATCAACTGCCCAGGACCACAATGTACACTATGACACATTTCTTCGTCTACAGCGTAATTTACAAAAGGAAGTACAAGTGCTTCCGTTTCTTTCGAATTCAGAAGATCTTTGCAGCGACTAATAATGGCTTCCTGTTCTTTCACAATTTCCATGTCAACGTTTCTTTTCAGAACACATTTACCGCGTTCCACTGGGCTTGTTAATTGTTTTTCGAACAGCTGCAGTTTTCGTTGTTTACTTGCGTGACGTTTTTGTTGATTTCTAGAAATGTCGTCGATCTTTGTCAACACTGCTTTCTCGTGTTGTTTCAAAGTTTTAATTAATTTCTTCACAGTTTTTTTCACGTTCTTACGGGCTTCGCCAAGTTTTTTCTTTCTACTCTTGAGGAGATCTTCACCTTTTTGAATCTCATCTTTACTCGCTGAGATTTCGTCCTCTGCTTTCTTCAGAATCTTATCAAGTCGCTTCTTTCCTTCTCGAGCAGCTTGTTCAATGTCATGTCGACAATGGCTGTCATTATGACAGATGTGGCAAATACATTCCTTGCAATCGTCACAGTAATAATTTAAGGCCTCTTCTCCGTGGCTCTCATTTTTGCACATAACTCGTCTTCGTAAATGGTCTAACAGATGTTCTTTCTCAAGCAAAACACTTCTGTGATCCCTGATAACCTTCAGACGACTGTGAGCTCTCTCGCAGGAAGAACAATGGAAGTATTTGCAAACAAAACAGTACGAAATTGCCACCCTCCCTCCGTCACAATTCGTACACGTCTTTGCCGTTTGGTCTCTATTGAACACAGTTAAGATCTCCTTGAATCGATCTAACTGAAACGAAGTGCGAAAACCCCTGAATGTATTTTCTTCCGGGATTGGAATCGACGTCTGGCAGATAACACAGCTAATTTCGTGTTGACGCCGTCTTCTACCATCACTTGCCAAGTTATCGAGGCACATTAGACAGAATGAGTGCAAGCAAGGTAAAGTCTTGGGCTCTTTAAGCGTTCCCAAGCAAACTTGACATTTTGTTGTTACCTCGGGATCTTCCCAACACCACAGCGAAGCCATGATGTGTTCTTGGCTTCTTTGTGTACAGACATCACGTGATGATCGCGTGTTTTAGGTCATTAAGTGGAAGAGCTTGGTCACGCGAGTTGTTGGTGATTTGAGTCACGCTATCTCACTGCATTTTGAGCGATTATGTGGCATCTAAAACTGATTTTAAAGCGCACGAAACCTTCAACGACCTTAAAACGACAAACAGGAGATGGTAGAGGAATCATTCAGAACATTTTACGGCAAACATGGCGCTGAAGACAGCCTTTGTAATCAAATGCAATGCCAAACAATACCAGTAAAGTTTGTCATCTAAAATATTAATGCACTGTTGAATAAAACACGTGGTATAAACCTTTAATGAGTTTATCTGAGGAATGTAGACATTCTGGTTCGCTAGAGGCCTTGCACTTGCGTTTTTACACATTGAAGAATTTAGTCCATACTCAGCAAGTGTCTCTCGAGTTGGGGATGCAGTCTGGGAGTTGGAAGAGCACGATAGAAGCTTTATAAATGTTGCTCGAGGCGCCGCCGAGAACAACTCTAGCTTTACGAAAGGTCTTGCAATTTCTCGAGTGTGTCTAAAGCGGCCTTCACACGGCAAACTTAAGTTGGCATACCCGTGTTAGCAAACTTCAAAAAGTTAGCAAACTCGTTCCTTCACACGTCAAACTCGCGTCAAATCCAAACACACGGTAATTTGCAACATGACCGACTTAGTGCAGTGGCACTCACGTAGAACAGTGGAACAGAAGAAGAGATCACAAGAAACAGAAAGCGAGAAAGGTTTGGGCGAAACTCAGTTTGCCCGCTAGCTCCTCCATTTTCTTTTGTTTGTTTGTATTAGTATCTTTGTAGACTACAGAAGAAACGTCCCACACAGCCGGACAATTGTGAACCTCTTCAATAAAATTAAAATGAGTGGCCTCGCCTTCATCTTGACTAGCGTCCGCCATTCTGTGAAGTGTCACGCAAATGAATCACGTGAATAGAGCGCGTGTTTTAACTGGTTGACATTTACCAACACATGTTTGCCAATCGTTCACACGTCAGGTACGAGTTTACCAACACGAAAAAATTGGTGAAAAAGTTGGCGAGAATAGAGGCAAGTTCTATTTGTCGCCAACAGTTTGCCAACGTGTTTGCCGACTGTTTTTGTGCCGTTCACACGTACCAACTTGAGTTTGCCAACACGAGTTTGCCAACTTTAGTGTGCCGTGTGAAGGCCGCTTAAGTAAGGGCATGGAGCAATTATTTTGCAGACAGGCTCACAGATCGCAAGAAAACTCACAGGAAAAATGCACAGGAAACTGTACAAAGAATGCCTCAACGCAAATTCACAACCCTAAAATTTTATTTCTAAAATATTTTGACGTATACCTTAAGCTGGCAGACTGAATACTTCAGAAGGTTGATTTCACGACAATTTTTTCAAGTCTGATTCAGTTTTTTTTTCATATCATATTTGTTCTACATCAAAATGACGACAATGGAAATTCAATATTTATGTTAAAAAAAAATTACTTTTAGACGACATTAAAACGGAATTCAAAACTCGTTACTCGTTTATTTAACTCTGGTCAACAGAAGTTTAGCATAGCTTAGTTTGTACGTAAGGAAACCGAGATTTCACCTTTGCATGAGTTTAAATTTTTCTAGTTGTGCCGTTGTTAGAGAAGGGTTTACTGTCGACAGGGCGGCCATGAAATGTTTATGTTCCACTCTACCAACCGACATGCCTCCATCTTCAAGAGCACACAGTGCGGCCTGCAAAATAACAAACAATGTCAACCAGCCATCAAAATCACGGGAAACGCTTCCTCTGTAAATAGATTCATTGTTTCATTGTTCGCTTGACCACCGTAACTTTTTGGAAACACAAAAATCTTCTTCACAATACCATAAAGAAGTTACCTGCAATACATTAACATATATATATTTGGGGGAGGGNTGTTGCTTAGTAACATGACGTATCACGACGGCGACGAGTTGAGATGTCACTGTGGAAAAACTCGTAATGTCCTGATTAGCAGAATCGGAAAATCTTCGGGTGCTCCTTCGGTGCATTCCGAAAGACTCGTTTGACCACCGGAACTTTTTGGAAACACAAAAATCTTCTCCACGATACCATAAAGAAGCTACCTGTTATACATTAAGAAATTTTTTTTGCGATACAGACTGTTACCTTGAAACTGGAGGGATCACACGATGATATTTTAATGAGGTTGAAGCATAGCAAAGAGGTTATCAACTGAAAAGAAACAATGGCTAACTTTGAGAAGTTTAAACTAAACACGTACTTGAAAAAATCGCGGGGAAGAATTTTGTTCTTTTTTTTGTCAGATATTGCCTAATTTCTTACCTCTCTACACAAGTTTTCAAGGTCAGCGCCTGAGAACAACTCCGTGTTCAAAGCAGTCTCCTCCAAATCTACATCATCTGCCAAGGGACTGGCACGAGTGTGTACTCTCAGGATTTGCAACCGAGCCTCAACGTCTGGAGGAGGTACATAAATGATGCGATCGATACGGCCCGGTCTCAGAAGGGCCTCGTCAATAGCATCAAGCCGATTGGTGGCTGCGACAATGAGAACAGCTTTCACAGTTAAGGAGCTAATGACTTTTAACCTCTGCGTATTAACCGAAAACTCTTCATTTTCCAAGTGTGTCGCCCCGCAATCAGTTCTCATCAACTGTTCTCCATTATTTCCTTGTTCTGAAGGTTTGGTGTTTCTTTCCGCTGACTGGTAGATATTCGCCAATGTTCCAACACCATCCATTTCGTTTAGCAGAGTTGACAGTAACCTCGCCTCCACCCCAGTACCGCTCGTCCCAGACCGTTTGCCGACCAGGGCCTCCAGTTCATCAAGGAACAAAATGGACGGAGCTGTTGCGCGAGCCTTGGTAAACACCTAAGAGAAATCCATAAACAGACATGAATTACACAGTCGCTTTAGGAATACGTAGCTTCCCTGAGTTGGTTGCCAGAAACAGAGAAAATGTACTGACTTGGTCCCAGTTTTCGACTTAGCTCTGCGTGGATTTAGTTATTTCATGTACTTTCAAGTACCTTCTAGACTTTCTAAAAGTCCCTTCCAATAATATTTCCATTGTTAGTTTTTCCGTTGGAAAGGACTTTTCCCACTTGCAGCGCGCCAAATTTTACCGGTGGATTTTTCCACCGGTGACGTAAATACACATTAAGGTTACTTCCCACCTTCAGAGGCCAAAAAAATCGTTTTTTCTTTTATTTGACAAAATTTAAGTTCGTCATTTTATCTAGTGTTTCCAAAGGA